GTGAGGTATTATCAACAACGTACTTGGAGAAGGTATTTTAGATTGTGTAATCAGGTGGTGTTTTTGAAAAGTGTTTTTAAAAATAAATTATTTTTCGCAAACTTTCAGACCCACCCCCAAACGACGGCGAGAAGCTCGTCAAACCCAACCGACCGACGCCTTTCATTGCTTCTCCTTACACAAGCAAGCTCTCTCTCTCTCTCTTAGGAATGAGTTTTTGATATGCAATGCTTCATGATCTGAACCTGGTTCAACTTGTTTTTGATTTTCTCTGCCCTTTTTTCTTGTTTGAAATTTCAATGATAGATAGTTGAAACAAGGGATTGGAACAGTGGATTAGAAGCAAAAAAAGAACAGTGGTATTTTCAAAATATGTAACGGACAGATTTAAGGGGAACAGCGTTGAAGGGCTCATTGTCTGTTCTAAAAGAAATGCCAGGAACATATTTCAACCAAACAGGAAATTCCCTATTTTCAAATAAAGCACAAAACAAAGATTCATTCATTCAATATATAATATAAATATAAAAGTACATTTAAAATAAAACAGATTACTAAATGCATCCATACATATACGTCATACAATAGAGGTTTTCTTTCTTTTTTTTAAAATCAAACCCACTAATTTTTTAATTTTTTTTTTTTAAAGTGGTGTAATAAGTTCAAAACAACATTCATTTGGCAATTAATTCTTAAAACTACTTGGGTTTAATTATAAATAAAAAAAATACAACAAATATTAAATAAATATTGTAAGTAATACCCAAAATTCCATTCAGCACAAATATAGGGGCCAATCCTGAGATGAAGACAAAGGTCAGCTTGTTGCACCAGTTTGATGAACTTAACCAAAGCTTGGTTGGTTCAACTGAATATGTTTGTCTATGATCTAAATCAAGTATTTGATTGAATAATATTAATCCAGTCAATAGTGTCTTTGTTCTTGGTGCCAAAATAATTAAATTGATTCATAAACATTTATTTTTCCTGTTTGTTTTTCAGGTGGAACGCACTACAAATTTCGGTCATAGCAGCTGATAAATTTCATTGTTGGCTGCTGCTGTCCATGTGTTACTGGTAAATTTCATGTATGTTGTTGCCCATGTAGTGCTGCTGTCCATGTGTTGCTGCAAGTGTTGCTGGCCCTGGCCATATTTTGCTGATGCCCATTTTTGCTCAAGTGTTATAGCCCATCTATTGCTGAAAATGCTGGCGAAGTGCTGCTGCTGAAATAGTTTTTTGCTTAAGTGCAGCTGCTGAAACAGTTTTTTATTGTTGCTTAAGTGCTGCTGCTGAAATCTTTTTTAATCTTGTTTTATTAAATTGCTTAAGTTCTTATTATGTTGCTTAAGTTCTTATTTTTTGTGTGAACATGTATAAGGTTGGATAATATTGGTTCTTCTTTTTTTATGTTGATTAATATTTGAACATGTATGAGTTTGGATAATATTTGTTCTTCTTTGTTATGTTGGTTGGTATGGAATCTAGTTAAAGCTATGCAGAAGTTGCTGAAATTGGCATGAAATTAGTGTGTTATGGTACTGCTGCTTACTACAGTTTTTGTTCTTGTTTTTATATGTTCTTTACGGATGGTTTTGAATGGTTTTCTGATATAACTAGCTTAAACAGTTTGTATGTTGGAGCTTTCATCATGTGATTGTTTGGATGATGGGTCTATATTAATGAGATGAGTGTTGTATTAACCAAGTCCATCAGATGAATTTCAGAGTGGGTCTATATGTTCTTTACCCATCTATTCAGTGTATATGCTGCTATCCATCTGCTCAAAATGCTGCTGCCATCTAAAATAAAAACCGTGCATATCATAGAAGCATAATATACACATAGAAGCATTCCATGCTGCTGCTGCCATACTCATGCTACTGTTGCCATCTGCTGAAAATGCTGCTGTCATACTCATAGAAAAAGAAGACATTTTTGAATCTGATGTTGCTAATTTTTACACTAGTTTTAACTTGCTATAAAGATTTTTTCTTTTGTTGCATGTATTAAATTTCTTTACTTTACTTTGTATAACTTCCACTTGTCAAGGAAAAAATATGACGTTTAATATTGAAAATGGAAGTTTCTCATAAGCATAAGTTCATAATACAAATTCAACATACTAATGTAAAAACACATAACATGATATCTAAGCTTTGTAACAAATTTAACTTAAAACTAAATCAATATAAATTAATAATCAAGGAATAACTAGAGGAGCCCAAGCTCTGGATTTTAATTGCAGGGCATTAATAGAAGCAAAAGGAATGCTCATCAAGGTAAGGAAACTAATAAAGAAAATTGGGTATGGGCAATAAAGGACTCATGTTATGGTATTGTAATCCTACAGATAGTGGTTGCATTGTATATGCTATTAGCAAAAATTAGATCCTTGAAAAACATATTACTCTTCCTTTATATCCGCTGAAGCAAGTTAACCTTAAGCCATGACTATTTTTTTTTTACAACATAAACTAGATCCTTATGTAGAGACATATACGCATACCAAAACCAATGTACATCAATCTAGAAGTCAATTATTAACAAAAACAAACAGGATTTCAAGTACCTACCTCACTGTCAGTTGCAAACAACAATTTAGCGATTGTGTTTGCATCATGTTTTTCGTTTTCAGTTTTCATTTTTTGAGTTACGAAAGATACAATAAAAAGTTTGAAAACACAATTGGCATCATCTCATAAAATCATAATCGTATCTGTTGCAATGGATTCAAAAGTAGTAATTCTTTAACACTTTTGAACATGTAACTAAATCAACATTTCATTGAGGCATTTAAACAAACATCTCAAATTCACAAACAATTCAACCCAAAATTCTACAGATCAATAGCCACCGCAAATCCACACTTACAAATGTAAGAATAGTTCCAAATGGGTTAGAGAAAACACTGTATTAATGCTTCAATCAGAAAGAGTGATTTGATCCAAGTTGACCAGAAAATTTTCATTCACTACAAAACATAAATAAAATAAAAAATAATTTGCACTTTTTATCAGAAAAAATTAACAGAGTATGAGGAACTTGTTAACCAAAATGAAACTATCCAGTCAGACATTTCTTCAAACATTTGCAGTGCATTGTCTAACCTAGATTTGAAATCAAACAACTATGTCTAGTTTGTGCCATCAAAAAAGAAGGGGAAAATGAAATAGTGCAAGGCACATCCACTGAAATACAACTTTACATGGTGGTGGAATTGTTTGTTCTTGGTAGCGATGGGTGTGGACGTTTTGAACTTCAATAATCTTTTGCAGGAAGCTTCCCCAAACAGGTCGCCTAATAAAGGTGATTTCCTCCTCCTGAGTCTATATATAGAGTAGGTCACCGGTCGCCGGTGAGGCTGGGTTCGGTGAAGACTCTCTCTCTCTCTCTCTCTCTCTCTCTCTGTTTTCCTGTGTAAGGAGACGTCGGCCGGTCCCATTTCAAGAGCTTCTCGCCGTTAAGAGTAGGTCGCCGGTAAGGGTGGGTTCGGTGGAGAAGAGGACTGAGTGAGAGTAAGTGAGAGAGTGAGTGTATATCAAAGCTGTGGTCTTGATTGGACGGGAAAACGAAAATGAATTTGTTTTGAATTTTTTTTTTTTTTATAGCCGTTGGATCTGCAATGGCTGATCTCAGCCGTTGCCAGTAGGAAATAAATTAGAGGCATCAAAGAGGGGATCCAGACTCCCCAACTTTGGGGTTCCCAAGCATTTTTGTCCAAAAAATAAATCCTTGTATGTTTTGGCTCAAGATTCTCTCTCTCTCTCTTTAAATAATAATAATTATTATTCAAGATTTGATCTAAATTATTGAACTCTGTTTCTTTTCAAAAAAATAAAAATAAAAGGTTTAATTTTTTTAAACTTTAGCATGATTATTTTTATTATTATTATTATTACTTTACTCCTTAATATCAAAATTATTGAACTTTATTTTGGCGAAAAAATGGTGGTGGTAATTGGTCTACAACAGTAGCTTTGATTGGTGCTATAATCATGCATTATGCTACTGTAACGGTTGTGGAGAAAGAGAGAGAGGGGTCGCAATGGGTTGTGAGCTGTAATGGTATCAATATGGTTGTGATGTGAGTTGCAGTAGTGAGTTGGAATTGAGGATTGGTGGTGGTCGGTGACTGTAATAGTGTTATGATAGTTGTAACGATGTTGCTACTAGACACTATTTGGCATCTTCTATAAAAGTGTATTTTTTTAAATCATTTTTTTAATCTTATTTAGATTATTCCAAACACTCTCTTAGTATATACTGATAACAGCTTACAGTTAGAATTGATAAGGGCAAACCAATGAGGAGCAAGGATCCCCTCCTTACCTTATTTACTTGACCCCTTCTTATAACGATCAAGATTCATTCAAAGAGAATTTATCGGCTCAAATCACTTTATTAAAAAAAATAATAAATTACTTTTTAATTTTTTTAATAGAGTGATTTGCACCGTTAGATTCTCTTGGGATGAATCTTGACTATTACAAAAAGGGAGGTCTGTAGAGACACCAATGAAATAATTGTTGCTCAATCAACGAGAGACTGAAAGAAGAATATTGGTGAGTATTATAGGTTATGGATCATTTAGGCCTTATTTGTTATAACCTAAAAAAGTAAAAAATTCAAAAAATTACTATTCTATTTAAGTCACATCATCTTATTTAAGTTACATCACCTTTCAATCATATCACTTCAAATTCAACTCATATTTCATAAAAAGTCAAAAAATATACTTATTTAGATCATCCCAAATAACCTCTTAACAATTTCACTCTATCAATGGAGGAGGGGATTATGGTCATTGTACATTTTCTATCACTTGCCTTAAATGACAAACACTCAAGAGGGAGTGTAGGGCAATTTCTCAAATGTGAAGGGTAGCTGTATTAAGCTGGGTGTCAATGTAATTTACCCTAAAAAATTGGCAGCCCATGATTAAACGGGTCGGGCCTAGCAAGACGGATGTGCCTTTTCTTTTTAATTCTAGATTAGACAGAGCTAGGGTTTTTCAGTTCTGGTAGAAGTAGAGAGAGACATTTGGGTTCGAGAGAGACTGAGAGGGTCTTCTAATCTGCAGCGATCATCAAGCTTTAAGGAAATTGTGTCTTTTTTTGTGTGTTGAAATCGATCTTTTAAGCAATCCACGCATATATTACTACTCTTTTGTTGATTTGATCGAATTGAAACCCTAAATTTGTTGGAAAAAGAAAAGGAAGATGAGGCCGATATTGATGAAAGGGCACGAGAGGCCATTGACATTCTTGAAGTACAACAGGGACGGTGATCTCCTCTTCTCCTGCGCCAAGGATCACACCCCGACCGTCTGGTTCGCTGACAACGGCGAGCGCCTTGGCACTTATCGCGGCCACAACGGCGCTGTCTGGTGCTGCGATGTCTCAAGCAAGTCCCCTCTTCTCATCTCTCTCTCTCTCTCTCTCTCTCTCTCTCTCTTCCTACATCAATATATATACATGTTTTGTTTGTTTTTTGAGGATTTGTTTGTGATTAAGAGATTTGTTTATATGCCTGATATAAACATGGATTCTGATGCTGCTCATCTCATCTCTGTGATTCTTGAGACCCATTTGTTGAATGTTTGTTTGTAAATATGAAAGAAGATGTGGGTTTTGCGAGCATTTCCGACCCTTCAGCATTTTTTATTCATCAAATTTGTTCAAGAATTTATACCAAAATCTTGATTTGATATATCTTACTTTAATGTTGTGAATCAATTTTTTTCATCAAATCTTTTTTAAGAATACCAAACCTATCCCAAAAACCTGCTCTAATTTAATTAAGGAGAAAAAAAAACCCATCTCCAATGCTTTGTCGTTTAACAATTTCGTGAATCTAATGAAAATTGGGATGTTGGAAATTTGGTGAAAGATCTGCTTCATACCTGATTTGATACAAGTTTAATAAAAGAATTGGTTGAAGGATTTGTTAAACGATTGAAGATAAGAGATCCATGTATAAGTTATTTGCTTATAAACCTGATGGAAACATGGGTTTATGCTACTCATCTTGTCTTTCTCTATATATGATACTCTCGTAAGGGTCTTTTTGTTGGTTCATGAGACCCACATGTTGGATGTTTGTCTATATGTATGAAAGAAATATCATTGTTTGGATGTGAGATTCTGTGCTGGTTGCCTCGTATATCTTTCTCTCCTGTCTATATTTGTTTGTGTGATAGATTTTAAACATCTTTTGTTGATATCTGATGCTAGTGTGTGTTGTTTGTTTATATGACTCAAATGAAACTTGGGTATTATGCATTTGGTTTATTAGGAGATTCTATGATGCTCATTACTGGAAGTGCTGATCAGTCTGCAAAGCTGTGGAATGTTCAGACAGGGGCACAGCTTTTTACTTTCAATTTTGATTCTCCAGCCAGAGCCGTAGATTTTGCCGTTGGTGATAAGCTTGCGGTGATCACTACTGACCCCTTTATGGGATTACCTTCTGCTATTCACGTCAAACACATTGCCAGAGATCCTAGTGAACGTAATTTTTCCTTATAAAATTTTCTCTCGTTTATAGTTTTCTGATTTAATTTAATGTGATTTAACAATTGGGATTTGAGTTGATTTTAATTTGGACCTTCTTTGTCAAGTTTGAACTTAAGATCTCTACAAGACTTTTTTATAGTTGCTTTATATGGGATGCAATATATTTTTGAAAATTAAATTAAAATATACAAAAGATTGAAGAAAAAATGTTGGGTACCACTGAAGGAAAAAAAGAGAGGCTTGAAATGAAATGAAGCTTCTAAAAGTGGTTCACAAATTTCATCACATGCTATAGATGGACCTTGTTAGTAAGGCCAAGTTTGGGAAGACTAAATAAGTGCACTTTTTGACTTTTTATGAAATATGGGTTGGATTTGGGTTGGGTTTGAAGTGATGTGTTAGAGAGGTGATGTGACTTAAATAAGATGATGTGACTTAAATAGAATAGTGACTTTTTGACTTTTTGGATTTTTTGGAGGATGCCAAACTTGGCTTAAATTTATTATTGTAAGAGTAGGAGGCAATGAAGGCTTTCTCGGACCTATTGTAAAAAAAGATGTATGATTTTTCGAGATATATTTAGTGCATTTGTTTATCTTAATTATTAATGTATTTCGAAAAACCATACATCTTTTTTTACAATAGGTACGAGAAAGCCTTCATTGCCTCCTACTCTTACAATAATAAATTTACTAACAAGGTCCATCTATAGCATGTGATGAAATTTGTGACCCACTTTTAGAAGCTTCATTTCGTTTCAAGCCTCTTTTTTTCCTTTAGTGGTACCCAACATTTTTTCTTCAATCTTTTTATATATTTTAATTTAATTTTCAAAAATATATTGCTTCTGACCTGGTGGTGGCCAATACTATGTATAAGAAGAGGGAGGAGCATTTGATGACCTTTAAGAGTGGGTCAGTTAAGAGCGAAATAGATTATTTCTTAGTAAGAAAGTGGACTGCCTAAAATGCAATGATTGTAAGGTGATTCCTGGAGAGAGCCTGACCTCTCAACATAGGATTTTGGTACTAGATTTATATTTTAGAGGACAATACCAAGCTAGGAAGGATGGTGGGCGTTGTCGAACAAGATGGTGGGACCTAAAAGGAGATAAATTAGAAATATTTAAGAATAAAATGGATAAGGAAGGTACTTGGGACCTGGAAGATGATGCTAACACTGTGGAACTCGATGGCCAATTGTATGAGGAGAATCTGAAGGGAAGTGCTTGGAGAGTCTAAAGGAACGGGACCTAGCTCTAGGAAAACTTGGTGGTGGAGGGAAAGGGTTCAAGCAGTAGTTAAGGCAAAAAAAGAGTGCTTTAAAAAGTGGCAAAATGATAGAACTGAAGAAAACCTTAGGAGCTATAGATTGACTAATAAGGAGGTCAAGAAAGTAGTGAGAGAGGCTAAGTTGAAAACTTATGATGATCTATACACTAGACTAAATAGTAAGGAGGGAGAGAAGAGGGTATACAAACTTGCTAAGATACGAGAGAGGAAAATAAGAGATTTTAATCAAGTTAAGTGCATCAAGAGTGAGGATTCTAAGGTATTGGTGAGGGATGAAGAGATTAAGGAAAGATGGAGGAAATATTTTGAGAAACTATTAAATGAGGAACATGGAGGTATGCATAGGGGAAGACATAGCTAGTATATAAACCAAGACTATAGGTTCTATCGTAAGATTAGGAATTTTGAAGTGGAGATTGCACTTACGAAGATGAAATCTAATGAGGCTTTAGGACCAGATGATATCCCTATTGAAGCTTGTAAGTGTTTGGGTAAAAAGGGGATTGCTTGGTTGACTAGGGGTTGTTTTAGCAAAATTTTGTTGACTAGGAACATGCCAGATGAGTGGAGGAAGAGTATTTTATTGTCAATCTATAAGAATAAAGAAGATGTCCAGAATTGCAATAACTGTAGAGGAATCAAGCTAATGTGTTATATAATTAAAGTGTGGGAAAGGGTGATAGAACGTCGATTGCGAGATATAACAGAGGTGTCAGAGAATCAATTTGGGTTTATGCTTTGCAGGTCAACAATGGAAGCGATCTATCTTTTGAGGAGAGTAATAGAAAAGTATAGAGAAAAGAAAATAGACATTCATATGGTGTTTATCGACCTTGAGAAAGCATATGATAGAGTGTCCCGGGATATAATACGGTGGGTGTTAGCGAAGAAAGGGATGACAAAATGTTACATTGATGTGATTAGAGACATGTATAAAGGGATGGTGACCACTATTAGATCGTCTGTTGGAGAGACAAGTGAACTTCCTATCACTGTAGGGTTGTACCAAGGATCTGTCTTAAGTCCTTATCTTTTTGCTTTAGTTATGGATGAGTTGACGAGAAATATCCAGGATGACGTGCCATGGTGTATGCTTTTTGCAGACGATATAGTGCTAGTGGATGAAACTAGAGAAGGAGTTAATACAAAGTTGGAGATTTGGAGAAAAACTTTTGAATCTAAAGGATTCCGGATAAACAGAACTAAGACCGAGTACATGGAGTGTAAATTTAGTAACAGTAACCTATGTTATCAGAATCTTACGATTTGCGATTCGATTCACGATTCGATTCGCAATTTTTGTAAAATCAATACGAATCTATGGGTGAATCTATTTTGGAAGTGAATCTCTTGTGAATCGCACGATTCAGAATCGATTCACGATTCGATTCACTTTTTACGATTCATGCAATTTTTGAAATTATTGTGTACGACATATTTTTGACTTTTTTTCTTCATCTTTTTAGTGAAAATGGCATAATACAACTTTTAATAGCGTTTGATACCAAAATAACCAACATATATACATGATTTATTGTTATTTTAGTGATCATGGAGTTTTTAATAGAATCCAATCAGATCCAATCAGATTCAATCGGACCCAACATATTTTTAACATTTCTTCTCATTTTTTTTCCTCTTTAAAAAATTATAATATATCTTCTAAAGATATTTAAGATTAAAGTTACACTATGAATTATCTATTACTATTTTATTAAATTGAATATTACATGTTTAAGGTCAGTTATACTTTTTAAAATGTTTTAGACTTTAAAATAAAAGATTCTAAATAATTCCTTCTTATTATTTGCTCCTTGTTACTTAGAAAAGTATATATGCTTATTGTCCAAATATCAACATTGTTGTTAATTATTGTTACTTTAAAAATTGATAGTTTGTCTATTTGGTTGCTATCTTTATTAAGAATGGCTGATAAGAAATATCTAAAAAATAAAAAAGGCAAGATGGTGATATTACATCTTTATTAAGAATGGTTGACGTTGATAAGAAATATCTAAAAAAGAAAAATGTAATTTAGTGATCTTACATAGGAACCTTTGTTAACTTCTTACCTATTAAACTACGTGATTATTATTCAAAATAACATTTTTATTGATTTAAGTCTAAATATTTTATATTCATAAAATATATTTAACATCTAAATATGTAGATATATATTTTTAAGTAATTTAGAAAAAGTGACCGAATTTTTACGATTCACGATTTGATTCGCGATTCAGTACAAGACCATTTCGATTCACAATACGAATCTGGATTTGACAACTATGGCAGTAACAATGAAAGCAGAGGAGAAGTGAAAATTGAGAACCAAGAACTGCCTAAGAGTGAACATTTTCGTTATTTAGGGTCGATTATCACAATAGCGGGGGAGATTGATGCGGATGTGGCCCATAGGATTAAGGTGGGATGGTGTAAGTGGAGAAGTGCGTCTGGGTACTGTGTGATAGATAAATGCCCACTAAACTTAAAGGTAAGTTCTATAGAATGGCTATTAAACCAACGATGTTGTATGGGACAGAGTGTTGGCCAACCAAGAAACAACATGTAGATAAGACGAGTGTGGTTGAGGTGAGAATGCTAAGGTGGATGTGTGGCAGGACTAGACAAGACAAAATTAGGAATGAGTGTATTCGGAAATGGGTAGGAGTAGCACCGATAGAAGATAAGTTGAGAGAGAATCGATTGAGATGGTTTAGTCATATTCAACGGAGACCAACAAAGAGTGAAGAGATGCGATGCTGCAATGGTAGATGAAAGTGTTAGGAGACGGGGTAGGCCTAGATTAACGTTGGTTAGCGTTGTAAATAGAGATATGGATCTACTTAGTTTAACTAACAAAATGGCCTTTGATAGGACCGCGTGGAGAAGAAGGATGATGAGACTTAACTTAAGGCTTGGTTTGGTTTGGTTTATTGTTTTCCTTTATTGTTGATGAAATTTTTACAGGCATGCAAGTAATGCAAGTACTTTTGATTTTGAGTCTCTTAGCTCTGCTCGTAGAAGTGATGTTTACTTGAGTGGAAATTAATTTTAAAAAGCAATGGCCTGTGCCTTTTGCAGTAGTGAAAAAATTGATTTGTTATTAATTATTTGGGGTTGGAATATATATATATATATATATATTTTGGGTAAGTAAGTTGGAATATATTTAAAATTGGTGAGAATTGTTAATTTTTAGAAAATGAGGAGGGCGTTTTTTAATTCTATGGTTTTCAGTGAAAGAAAACCTGGGAATTACGAAAGTAATTTGAATAAGGTTTCCAATAGTTGTGAAATTCAGGAGTCAATAGAGTTGCATTGGGTGTTGTTTCACTAATAAGAAGTTCAGGTTAAGTTAAAGATTTTGAAGTCATTTGAGAATTATGCTAACATGAATTTCACAAGATTTGTGTCGATGAAAAGTAGGTTTTGAACATTTACAGAATTATAGTGACTCAACTAAGCAAAGCTCATCATCAAAGTTTACTCTCAATTATTATGTGGTAGTGACTTGGAACTCTACTCAACACAACAAGCCTTCGTCCCAATTACTTGGGTTGGTCTCAATATCTGTACCCTAAAAGCCATGTCGTTTATAAAGTTTAATACAATTGTACATATTCTTACTGCTTCATACATATTCTTGGCCTTTCTCTATTTCTTTTAGCACCCTCATCATGAATTTGATTACCCCTCTCACATCACATGCATGTCAGTTGGTGTGATGGTGATACCATCTCCAACAAGTTTCCTGCATTTTATTTTCTATTGGTGCCACTTCTTATTTCCATTTACTGCTTTCATATTTTGTTTTGTCTTTTCATGCAACACCACTCATCATTTTCAACATTTTCATTTTAGCGACTCTACAGATGGTGGGATGGTCAACAAAGACTATGTGGTCTTATATTGATTTGACCTCTTTTTATCACAGATTTGTAACTATCAACTTTTTACTGTTTTAAGTTTAGGCCCATGCCTACAGGATGTTGATATGGACTAGAGTCACAGGCTGTTTGATTAGGATATATTTGGGCAGCAGAACACTCGCTTCTAATATTGGCTTATAGCTCATTGCTTTTTATGGTAGAATGCCTCTTTTATTCAACGAGACAATGGTTTGCAAAACTTCTTAAATTATTATTGGTTGTCATTTGCAGAGACTGGTGAGTCTGTGCTCACAATCAAGGGCCCTCAGGGAAGAATAAATAGAGCTGTCTGGGGACCCCTGAACAAAACTATCATAAGTGCTGGTGAAGATGCTGTAGTTCGTATCTGGGATTCTGAGGTGAGCATTCTACATGTTGTCCTGTGTTTTCCTTCGTGGACATAATTTATGGAAACAGAACATTTTGAACATTGCAAATTTTCTGTATGCAGTGTTTTTTTTAGTTCTTTGTTTTTCCAGTTGTTTTGAAGCAGTACTTTAGATTTAGTTTTGGCATTTGTCATTTTTTTCCCCAACTATGTTTTTATTCATTAATGTTTACTTGTTAATTGGCCTGAAGTTGAAGTTGTGGATTGTTTTCCAAACTGGCAGACAGGAAAATTGCTTAAAGAGTCCGACAAGGAAACTGGTCACAAAAAGACAATTACATCACTCACAAAATCTGCAGATAGCTCACATTTTCTCACTGGTTCCCTAGATAAATCTGCCAAGGTTTACTAACTTGTAACTCTTTAAAGTTTTTTATACTTAATCTAACTTCCATTGTTTTGAAACTTTTCTTATTGGTTTTTCTCCTTGACTTTGTTAGCTTTGGGACATCAGATCGTTGACACTTATCAAGACCTATGTGACGGAACGTCCAGTTAATGCAGTTGCTATGTCTCCACTTCTTGATCATGTATGTATTAATGAAGCACTAGTTTTAAGGGTGACGGTCATAATCATATAGGTGCTATGATTCCCAGTAGTGCATGTTTCTCAATGGATTGTCTTATCATTTGTTTTATCCCCTTATTAATCATATTTTTGTGTATAGAAGTGCACTCACTGTTACCTAGCTGGAAATTGAAGCAATGATTTCTTAGTGTTGTAACAATTATTATTGGTTTCTTAGGTTTTTTTACAGAATATGAGGATTCGTAATTACGTTGCTGTGTATCATTGTTGCTTATAAATTATACTTGGAAGAATTCATGAAAAATATGAATGGCCTTATTTTCTGTGCACGTATTCATATGTTTCTGTACGCATGTGTTAGCATGCTGTTGCAGTAACTTACTACATTATGTGTGAAACAAAATTGGTTACTGACTTGGTTTTATTTTCTTTGTAGCTTTTTGTTTTACACTTACAATTATTTTTTGTAAATTCATTTCTTTGATGCTTCTAGGTGGTGCTTGGAGGTGGTCAGGATGCTTCAGCTGTCACAACTACTGACCATCGTGCCGGGAAGTTTGAAGCCAAATTCTTTGACAAGGTAAAGTCGTATTTTTCACTTATGATATGTAAATGATATGGGCTCAATAAATTCTTGAACTTCTTGAGGAAACATTTTCTTCCTTGTGTTTAATTTAGGTCCTTCAAGAAGAAATTGGAGGTGTCAAAGGGCACTTTGGACCAATAAATGCTTTGGCATTCAATCCAGATGGTAAAAGGTATTGGTTTTTTACATTACAGCTGCTGCATTTTATTTTTTTTTTACTAAACTTGCCTGACTCATGATGACAACAGCCCTTCAGTTTTAAAGTTTGGTACAAATACTTTTAAGAAGTGATAATTTATGTTATTCACCTTGAATGCTTTCTTTTTCACAAGTTTTGTGAATCATAGTTTTCTTTTGTTTGTTCATTTGAAACAAATATACACACTTCTAACTTGGGTTAATTTCTGTAGTTCTTTTCATAGCTTTTATCTGTTTATGTTGTCATCTAGATGTTGTCATGTATTTGCGATTTTGTATTACTTATGACTAAGAAGCACAAACACTTTTAAGAAGGTGGTGTCATGTTGGACACCGACGGGGCATGACACTCATCAACGCCTGGTATGACCCTCATCAACACCTGTCAAACACATTTGCTCCTTTAGACTTATTGTTTTATCAAAACCTTTAGACTTATTGTTACATTGCATTTTGTTATTATCTTTGAATTAAATATTCATAAAAGTCATATATAGGTTTTGATAAACTTGTGGGACCTTACATCATGGATATCTCGTATACATTTTTTAGACTAAATGCTCACTTTTATGTTGTTCATGTATTAATAAATGATTTCATTTTTTTATGTTATATTGATCCATTAATGTAGTTCATTTCCTAATCTTATTTAATACTTATTTTGATTTGAGGTACAGAAAAAACCTCATGGCATGGGTTGACCTCTTGTTGGTTTGTTTTATGAACAGCAGCAAATGTCAACCTAAGTTTTCATGCCTGTCTGAGTTTTCCATTTTATTTTTTGTTGTGTAGTTTTTCGAGTGGGGGTGAAGATGGGTATGTCCGGTTGCACCATTTCGACCCAGATTACTTCCATATCAAGATTTAATTCTTATGGCATTACGTGGTATATTTTTTTGCTTTTTTCTTTCATATTGAAGGTCAAGATTTTGTAGAACATAGAACGCCATTGTCAGGAACGATGTAACTGACAAAGCATTGATCTTTTTGTCCAACTTCTTTTATTTTTTGACTAAAAACTGATACAGCAAGAGATTGTGTTGATTCTCTGCATCGATTTCTTGATCAATGACCAACAAGTGAGAATTTGGGTGAGAACAGACCAATCAAACAGATTTTGAGCTTGGAGGTATTAAAAAAAAAAAAAAAAAGGTACTTTACAACCTAGCACAGCCACAAAAGTTTCACACGTCGGTGGGTCTGGAAAGGCAGTTTAAGAATCGGGCTTTTAAATCATTTTACACGTCAGTGGGTCTAGAAAGTCGTTTAAGAATTGGGCTTTTAAATCATTTTTCATTTTTGAGTAGTGCTGTTTTAATTCAAAAGTTACATTTATTTTTTTTAATTTAATGATGCGACAGTTTATTAGGATATTTAAAGCAATTATTTCTTTCTTATATCTTCTCTAATTATTAATTATTTATTTTTTTACACATTACTTAAATCTTAAAAATGACTCCAGAAAATGAAGTCATCCGAACATGCCTACACCAGTGTTTGACATTTGGATTTCAAAATGCATGATTCTTATCATTTCTATCCAAATTAACAGCTACTGTGAAGAAATCTCTTCAACTAAACCTTAAAAATTTAAATAAAATAATTCATTAGTAAAGTGTTTCATAAATGTATATATATTTTATAGAACATATTCTCAATCATGCTGTAATGCATGTGATGTAAGATTTGTCAGGCGCAGTCCATTTGTAAATGACAGATGTTCCAAATGCGTTACCAACTCCGTCATCATGCACTTTGTTTTACTTTATACTAGAAAGTTATAGTATAATATTATTTTATAAATAGTTTTTACCTCATATTATGTTTTAAAGTAATTTGAATAAAATAAGTTGTTTAAAAAATAGAGAATCCCTAAATGCTGAGTCATCAGTCATGCCAGTTATGCTGAGTCCATGTAATATTGTTGTTTGTGTACAATTATGACCCCTTTTGAGAAGTGGGTTATAATTCATTTTTCAGATTATATAATTTATTTTTTTTTTCTCACAAAAAATTGATTATAATCAGTTTATAATAAGTTTTTAACTAAAAAATTGATTATAATCATCTTTTCAAAATAATTCTATGTGTTACTAACTTCTTTTAATCTAAACTTTTTTGCCAAATCATTAACATATGATAAAACAAAATGGAAATCATATAAAAGGGTTCTTAGGTGTTGCCTCAGTTTTAGCTTTGATTATAATTTATAATTTATTATTGAATGCAAGCAAATTATATATTGCAAAATAAAAGGTAGGTTGGTTTTTTTGTTTTTTGTAAAATCTAAAAATAAAAACTGATATGTTTAGCAAATATTTTTTTATTTTTTATTTTTTAACTATTTAAGAATAAAAAAAATACTGCTTTTTTTACATCTTAGGCTCATTATTGCCATAAGAAAAATGTTTCAGATCACTAATTCAACACCATTAATACGCCATTAATTATGTGGCATCATGTGAACCTCACCATTAATGTGATAGTTTGGCCTTTGTTTTTGTTTTTATTTTTATTTTTTTTCTTGCGCTGCCAACTCATTAGAGCTGGTATTAGTGTTACCATTTTAGAGCCCTGAGTCAGTGTTATTGCCATAATTCAACTATGTAGTTCTTGGCAATGTGAGATTTTTGATTGATTGATGTGTTAAAAATAATAAAATAATTTCAATTAATAAATAAATATAACAACTCTATACTGCACCAAACAGCATTTGAGTTTAAAAATTTTATTAATCGGTGTGCTTTTATCACTTATGTTAAATAGATTTTAAAATGTTACACACATGACATCTACATAAAAGTAAAGTTAGATTTTTTTCAAATTTAAATTTAAATTTGAAAGAACTTAAGGAATTGATAAAGCTCACTATCAGTCTATCCAAATTTAAATTCGTTTTTTCTAAAAATTTATTTATTTTTATTAAATAAATGTGATAAAATAAAAATATTATAATTATCAAATTAACTAATTTCTTTTAAATGATATATAGTGGAAAAAATGAACTCAAATCAAAATGGGACGCATGAATCCCATGAATTGTTTTAAGCAAGTATATAATATTTTTTTTATACATATTTTATAAAGACAAGAGTCAAAATATCTAAGGTAATTTTTTATTATAATTTTTTTAATCATTATTTATTTATCTATTTTACATATTACTGAATTTAATAATTTTTTTAAACTTTTAATAATAGGATCAAAATAATCAATGTGATACATTTCTCTATTTTGGATTTGGGGTGCAAACTGTGCCCCAGCACAGTAAGCACTTTTGTACTATCCTATGGACTCATTTCGGGATTCGTTTTGATAATTCAAATCGTTTACATTTTAGAACATATTTAATAGATTATACTTGTAAAAAATTAAATTAATTAGATATTGTTAACTTTTTCATTTACTCACATTTGTATCTATAAAAATAAATGATATTGTGATTTAAACTATTAAAATGAATACTAATGTGAGTAGATGAAATCATTAACGATATCTAATTAACTTAATTTTTAATAAATATATTTTATTTGATATATTCTAAAATATAAACGATTCAAATTATCAAAACTAATCCTAAAAAACATCTATAAGACAGCACAACCGTACCTACTGTGCCCAACACAGCAGACACTCCGGATCCCATTTTTCCTAAACAAGTCGGGGCAAAGCGCCAAAGACGCGGTTGCTACTGTTGTCCAGCTCATCCTCATCGACACTCCACTCCACCTCTCTCCATTACCGTCGCCTCCGTCCACCATCGTTCTCCGTCTTCGCACCAGCGCCTCTCTTCTCTCTCTCTATCCAGCTGCGTGGTTTGTTGTTTGTTAGGGCAAAACAGAGGAGATAGGGACGAAGATGAAGTCAATCAGGCGGGAAATTCGAATTTTTCGGAACCAAAAAAAAATAAAACCAACTAAACAAAACGACGTCGTTTTTTCACTCCAAAACGACGTCGTTTTGGAGTGCTGCTGGGAGTGCTGCTGGAAAGCGCGGCCGAAGATCTGAACTCTCCCCGGTAGCCCCTCCTTTCTTTCCAAATTCACCTTCTCTCCATTTCTCTCTCTCTCTCTCTCTCTCTCTCTCTATATCTATATATATAAGGGATGATCATGTTGGTGGATTTGAGAGACCTAGAAAGTTCTTTGTTGCAGTGAATAGAGACAAAACGAAATTCTTGTTCGCAAATTTTACTCTACTTACGTGTATAAATATAATAAACTGCAACTGTTTTCAATTTTATCAACCCTGAAAAATGGGGTTTCAAAAAACATCTCTGTTTTTAGATTTCAAATAGAAGTCAGAGAGAGAGAGAGAGAGAGAGAGAGAGAGAGAATTAAAAGGAAACCGAGTTAAATTAGCTTTTATTTATTTATTTATTTATTTATTTTCAAATCTAGAGAGAGATCAGACATTCGGCCGCGAGACCGTTACTGAAGAAACCAAGGCAATATATATATATATATATATGTGTGTGTGTGTGTTGTATAGTTGACAAGGCTGAAATTGAGTCTGGGTCTTTTCGATGCCGTCTCGACTATTGCGATTTGCTTTGGACTCGGCTTCTGATCTTGAGAATTCCAGCTATTAGTTGCTCTGTTTGTTGGCCATCCCAACAAATACTATATATATATATACAAACTTCAGGTCAGTTCATTTGATTTGTTCTGATAATTGACTTTCTCATTCATTTTGTTTGTTAATCTTTGTAATCTATCAAACCCATGTTTCAATTTGTGTATATATATATAGATCCCTGTGTTCTTTTTTTTTAATCTGTTTGATTGATGATGAGATCAAATCTTTGCAGTTCAAGACTTTAAAGAATTTAGATTTCTCTTCTCTGTTTTGGATTTGTCTGCTGTGTAGTTTTTCACCCTTATGTTATATGTAAATTCAATTGAAGTTTTTCTTTTAGAAAAGTGAAGTATTGAGTAGGACTTGATTCCTATCTTAAAAAAACAAAAAAGTCTAGGACTTGATTTGTTGTTGGAGAATTTGTTTGTTGTGAGAGCCACTTCACCATCTGCTTTGGTGTAACAGTGTTTCTTGTACATAAAGGTGCTTATGCTTGACTTTGCTGCCAAGCTGAACTTGTTCCTTCTTTTGAAGAATACCCATTACAATTTATTGACTTCAGTATAAGTTTAGACCTTCATTTACAAGAGACATATGTATTTTCTTGGATCTTGGTAATATATGTTATATCTTTGTGAATATATTGTTTGAGAATGTGATCTTTGGTAATATATCAGTATATCTATGTGCATATATTGTTTTGAGTAAGTTTCAATTTTGAAAATAAAGGCGAGTCTTTTCATTGCTGGGTGTTTCTATTTGTTTTTCTTTCTCAATTTCTTATACGGTGATCTGTCGCAGATTGGATTGATATGCAATGCAGAGGTCACGTAAAGCTCTTCTGCAAAGAAGAGCTCTGAAGAAGGCAATTTGCGGAAGGAATCACTTGTATACTGTTTCTGTATCTCTGCTTCTTGTTCTGTGGGGGCTCGTATTCCTTTTAAATATTTGGATCAGTCATGGTGATGGTTACAATGGTCAGTCTCAACTGAAATTCCTATTTATATGCTTTATTTTTTTGCTTGGCACATTTTAGTGGTTCTGTAATGGGTGTGGTATTTGATACAGCACCCCTTTAGCCTCTATGGTACACTGGTCCTCGGGTATTGATTGGGATCCAAGAAGCATGGACGTTTCTAAGGACACTGATGCTCGTCGGACACATGCCCAAATATGTCCTATTATTATTATTTTATATAAATAAATTAGGCTTGAACATGCTTCGGACACTTGTGGAGCCTAGTTTTGCATCACTTATACACACATGAACCCTTTTAACTTTAGAAATTTGTGTTATGTTATATAATTAACTTTGAATGAAATATGCATATGTATGGCATGTAATAAATATATAAAACCTTATATCTTAAGCGTGTCCACCATGCTTTGTGTCTTGCATTTTTTTTTTTTAAATTGTCACTTTGATGTGTCACGTGTCCATGTCCGTGCTTCTTAGACTGGGATGGATGGATTAGCATCTTTTCCCTTTTCCTTTTTAAAATCTTTTCCTTTAAATGTGCAAGATGGATGGAAGGAGCCTAGGCATGATGAAGGGGAGGACTGCAGTTTCCTAAAGGAAGGGTGTGTTAAAATACCCTTATGTCTCGAACTCGTGAAATGTGTTTTTGTGGATACACACATGAATCCTTGCCTTCTATATGAATTTGGATAGATTATGCATACTGTAACAGCCTCTATTCATCTTTGATCTTATTTTCCATTTGACATAATCACTCTTAATTGTTGGAATCTCAGCTTGTGGCTGTAACTTATTCTGACTTTTTTTTTTTGGGGTGTGTGTGTGTGTGTGTGTTTGTTTTAATTTGATTTAGATGGATCTGGAGAATTTCCTGTTGGTGTAAAAACTTGGGATGAAGATAAACCCGGACTTAATAAGGGCTCTTGTTCCATAGATAAAAATCCTTTGGTGGAAATTGAGTCAGAGGAGCATGAGAATTTCTGCACAACTGGTCCTAAAACCAAGAGTACCAGTTGTGAACTAGAAGTTAGCACAAATGAGCCTAAAACCAAGAGTACCAGTTTTGAATTAGAATCTAGCGAAGGAAGTAAAAAATATTTTGCAGCTGTCGAAGAGCAAGCTGAGGTGGAGAGCACCAATTTGGGTTCAAAAACTGGCAGGCTACCACGTACTGTGCATCTGGGTCTTGATGAATTTAAGAGCAAAGCGTTCAATTCCAAAAGTAAATCTGTAACTGGTCAGGCTGGAAGCATAATACACAGAATGGAGCCTGGTGGCAGAGAGTATAATTATGCTTCTGCTTCAAAGGGGGCAAAGGTCTTGTCTTATAATAAGGAAGCCAAAGGTGCCTCAAACATCTTATGCAGAGACAAGGATAAGTATCTTCGAAGTCCATGTTCAGCTGAAGAGAAATTTGTCATCATAGAACTTTCGGAAGAAACCTTAGTGGATACAATCGAAATTGCAAATTTTGAGCATTACTCGTCGAAATTGAAGGATTTTGAGCTTCTTGGTAGTTCAGCTTATCCAACTGATACATGGGTTAAACTTGGCAATTTCACTGCTGAGAATGTGAAGCATGCTCAAAGGTTTGTTCTTCAGGAGCCAAAATGGGTGAGATACCTGAAGGTCAATCTTTTGACACATTATGGTTCAGAGTTCTACTGCACACTGAGTGTCGTGGAAGTTTATGGAGTGGATGCAGTTGAGAGGATGCTCGAGGACCTGATTTCTGTTCAGGATAATTTGTTTGTATCTGATGATGAACAAAGTGATGAGCAGAAGCAAATGTCGTCCCAGCCAGTTCACAATGAGGGTGATATTAATCCAAATAGTAATGTTGAAGAGGAATCTGAGTCTGCTATTCAAAACACTGATGTGAAATATAAACTTTCTACAATTAATGTGCCTGATCCAGTTGAAGAAATACGTCATCAACAGAATGGCAGGATGCCTGGGGACACTGTTCTCAAGATACTAATGCAGAAAGTTAGAACATTGGATTTAAGTTTATCAGTTTTGGAGCGATATCTTGAGGAATTAAATTCAAGATATGGCAGCATTTTCAAAGAATTTGACATAGAAATAGGAGAGAAAGATGTTCTCCTAGAGAAGATCAGATTGGACATGAGGAGTTTTCTTGACAGCAAGGAGATCATGGTAGGTGAATTCTTGTGGTGTTAGGACTTTTGTTTGTGTTATTCACTTGTAATAGGTTCTCGATGTGTTCTATAACATTTTGTTGCTCGTGCAGAGTAAACAAGTTGGTGATCTTATTTCTTGGAAATCCCTCGTTTCTATGCAGCTGGATAATATACTCCGGGACAATGCTATTCTCAGGTTGGTTTCTTCCTTCCTTTTGTTTTCTCTGCATCATGTCATATTTCCTTTAGTGCTTGTGCTGGACTTTCAGTCTAGTTTACAAATTAAAATTTCTGATAAAGCACCTGTTGGTTGAATTGCTCTTACTCTACTTCTTTTCTTTTCTGTTTTTTTTTTGGTTTTATTTTTGGTGGTGTTTTTAGTTGTGGGGTTGGGGTTGGGGTACTGTCCTAAATTCCTAATTGGAAACTTCAGACTATTTGTACTGTGGTTATTGGTTGTAGGTGTCAACCGAGTCATACAAGGCCAAGAGAGATTTATAGGACCAAAACTACATTATTCTACTAAGAAATGGAGTGAATTTGAAATCCATTTTAGCTCAGTGGTACAGTACTGGCATGGATGGTTTGATTCTTATCATTGGAGAAATCAGAAGAAGAGGAAAGAGAGTAACAAACACTGAAGATCCTTTTTTTTTTTAATTCGCAAAATCTCCCAAATACCCCTAACACCACAGCCCTCCCAAACCCACCTGAACAGCTTCACGTTCTGATTCTACATATTAGGTAAATTATCCATACTTGTGGACAAAATAAAAACCATGAATACACCTGGCTAGTCGAAAAATCCACCATCACTTGAGACAGGACTTGCAACCCCAACCCAGTTAACCCTTTGTGCTTGCATCTTCTTGAGCTCCTTGTTGGTTCTCCACTATTCATGGCCTAGAAAGCACGGACACGAACACGTGACACAACACAGACACATGGACACTCAAATTTTAAAAAAATGCAGAACTTGACATGTTGGGAACACGTGTGCAAAACATATAATTTTTTATATTTGTTGTCATATTGTTGAATATTATACATTTCTTTTATGTCAAGTATTTAATCTCATCAAATTCATCAATCTTGGCTGTGCTATTTCAGTAAAAAACAAAAAATTAGAAGGGGAAAAAAAAAACACAACGTTCCCCAACATGTCCCAATGTGTCTGTGTTCAACTGTCAAACACCAGTGTGTGACTTCCGCAGAGGTGTCCGTGCTTCGTAATTCATGGCTTTCAACACCTCATATGCTTTTGGTTTGATAATGTTCCATAGAACTCTATGCTCTTGATCTATGACTATGTTACTCCAATTGCCAAGTTTAAGGGGTGGTTTGAGATGATTTAAATAAGTGTATTTTTTGACTTTTTATGAAATATGAGTTGAGTATGGGTTGGGTTTGAAGTGATATGGTAGAGAGATGATGTGACTTAAATAAGATGATGTAACTAAAATAGGATAGTGAATTTTTGACTTTTTTAAGTTATGACAAACAAGGCCTAAGTATGCAATGGAACTATGGTCCTGTTTGGTAGAGCTATGGAAAAATGATTATAGATTATAACTTAATAGATTATAACTTATAGCTGTGACTATAAACTGTTAACCTGTTTGATGCAACTGTGGGATTATGGATTTAAGCAGCAGAGTAGTATTTGGTTGATAAACTATAAAATAATTTTTTGCTATGTAATTGTCCTTTTTGCCCTTATATGATATAAAAAATGATTATTTTGTTATTATTTCAGTTTTAATTTTAAAAAAGTTATTTCATTAATAAAAGTTAAAATAATTAGTATTACAAAAATTATAATTTTCATTATAAATTAATTAGTGTGTCAATTAATTGCTTAATTAGCATCATTACTTTTTTTATTTAATTTATTAATTCATTACAATTAATATAAATTAATATCCATGTATTTATATTAATGTTGTGATGTCATTACTTATTATTTTTCTTTATATTAATTTCAATTAGTTATTTAATAGAAGTTATAATATTTTTCTTTGTATTTCATTTTCTTTCATTAATTTTGTAATATAATATCCATTTTTAATAGAAGTTATAATTTTGTTTTTATTTAATAGAAGTTATAATAGTTTTTTTTATAATATCCATTTTTATAAATGTCCAGTTTTTTTTTTTCATTACCCATTTTTTATAATATCAATTTTTTTTTAAATGTCCAAATTTTTTTCATTATCCAATTTTTTTTTCTTTCATTTTTTTTCCATTAATTTTGTAATATAATATCCATTTTTAATAGAAGTTAATAAAAGTTAACTTTGTTTTTATTTAATAGAAGCTATAATAGTTTTTTTTATAATATCCATTTTTATAATATTAATTCTGTTTTTTTTTTATTACAATTAACAATATAACAATTGTTATTTTTTTAATATATTATTTTTTTTCATAGCAATTAGTAATATAACAATTGTGCAATTTATTTCTTTATTTAAATTGTGCAATTATGCAATTTTTATCAATAATTGTGAAATAAATTAAATGGAAGTTAATAAAAGTTAATTTTGTTTTTCTTTTTCTTTTTTTTTCCCCTTTTTTTTCATTACAATTTTGCAAAACCCTAGATCTGATTTTGCCTTTGCCTTTGTCGGAGCCGGGCTTCATCCACTGAGTGTGTTTGACTGATCGGGGAAGAACCCAAATGGGTCGAAAGGTTTTGAAGGGTTGGGAAGCAATTGGGTGGTGGAGAGACCACTAGAGAGCTCGGATCGAAGTGGAAATTCCACAAAATCGCCCCATTCGTCGTCATTGTAGTCGACGGTTGATTTTTTACCGTGGATCTGATCGGAATGGAGAGTGTGATAGGCGAAGGACGCAAACGTGAAGTCCCCGAAGCCCTCATCGTCATCTTCCTCTGCTTTGGTATCCATTATAGCTGAGAGAACACACTCTCTCTCTCTCTCTCGATTTTTTTGGTGATTGTGTGTGGTTTCAGAGCTCGCATCTGACCGCCGAAGCCCTCATCGTGGTCCTCCTCTGCTTTGGTGATCGTCGTCTTCACCGGAAATCACATCTGACCGCCGGAAATCGCCTCTCACACCGAAAATCGCCCCCCCTCTCTCTCTCTCTCTCTCAGAGTGAACAATGTTAGTTTGAACTCAAAACTGTGTTTATATACTAGCATTTTCGTAATTTCTTAAGTTTTGGAGGAACATTTAAGTCATTTTGCCCCTCCAGGATCAGCTGCGTGCTTAAGCTAAATCTATAAGCACCCTTGGAGCAACTTTCAGATTTAAGTCAGAAATGACTTAAATTAAGCTATAATCTGTGCCTTATAAGTTGTACCAAACACACCAACATTGCTTAATTTAAGCCAAAAGCTTATTTAAGTTGAAATTTTTTTTTACCAAACAAGCACTATATATGGGTTTTGATGAAAAACTATCAATCATGAAATTATCTCAATGTTTAAAAGATTTTAAGGGAAGAAATAGCCAATAATACGATAAACCAAGACTATAGGTTCTATCGCGGGATTATGAACTTTGAAGTGGAAATTGCACTTAAGAAGATGAAATCAAGTAAGGCTTTAGGACCCGATGATATCCCTATTAAGGCTTGGAAGTGTTTGGGTAAAAAGGGAGTTGGTTGGTTGATTAGGTTGTTTAGCAAAATTTTGTTGACTAGAAACATGCCAGATGAGTGGAGGAAGAGTATTTTAGTGTCAATCTATAAGAATAAAGGTGATGTCCAGAATTGTAACAACTATAGAGGAATCAAGCTAATGTGTCATATAATGAAAGTGTGGGAGAGGGTGATGGAACGCCGATTGCGAGATATAACAGAGGTGTCAGAGAATCAATTTGGGTTTATCCCTGGTAGGTCAATAATGAAAGCGATCTATCTACTGAGGAGAGTAATAGAAAAATATAAAGAAAAGAAAAGAAAAGAGACATTCATATGGTGTTTATCGACCTTGAGAAAGCATATGACAGAGTGTCCCGGGATATAATATGGTGGGTGTTAGAGAAAAAAGGGGTGACAAAAGGTTACATTGACGTGATTAGGGACATGTATGAAGGGATGGTGACCACTATTAGATCGCCAGCTGGAGAGACAAATGAATTTCCTATCACTGTAGGGTTACACCAAGGATCTACCTTAAGTCCTTATCTTTTTGCTTTAGTTATGGACGAGTTGACGATAAATATTCAGGATGACGTGCCATGGTGCATGCTTTTTGCAGACGATATTGTGTTAGTGGATGAGACTAGAGAAGGAGTTAACACAAAGTTAGAGATTTGGAGAAAAGCTCTTGGGATTCCGGATAAGCAGAACTAAGACAGAATACATGGAGTGTAAATTTAGTAACAGTAACAATGAAAGCAGAGGAGAAGTGAAGATTGAGAACCAAGAATTGCCTAAGAGTGAACACTTTCGTTATCTAGGGTCGATTATCACAACAGCGGGAGAGATTGGTGCAGATGTGGCCCATAGGATTAAGGCGGGATGGTGTAAGTGGAGAAGTGCGTCTGAGGTATTGTGCGATAAACGAATACCCACTAGACTAAAAGGTAAGTTTTATAGAACGCCTATTAGACTACCTATGTTGTATGGGACGGAGTGTTGGGCAACCAAAGAAACAACATGTAGATAAGATGAGTGTGGCTGAGATGAGAATGCTAAGGTGGATGTGTGGTAAGACTAGACAAGACAGGATTAGAAATGAGTGTATTCGGGAATGGGTAGGAGTAGCACCGATAGAAAATAAGTTGAGAGAGAATCGTTTGAGATGGTTTGGTCATATTCAACAGAGACTAACAAAGGCAGTAGTGAAGAGATGTGATGCTGTAACGGTAGATGGAAGTATTAGGGGACGGGGTAGGCGTAGATTAATGTTGCCTAGCGTTTTAAATAGAGATATGAATCTACTTAATTTGACTAATGAAATGGCCTTTGATAGGGCCGCGTAGAGAAGAAGGATTCATATAGCCGACCCCATTTGATGGGACTTAAGGCTTGGCTTGGTTTGGTTTCGTTTAAAAGATTTTAAGGCTTCATTTCTTTGATTGAAAAAATTGAGGTTCAAGAAACCATTGAATTATCACAAAAAAAAAAGGTTCAAGAAACTATTGAAAACTATATAGATGTTCCAAGTCTTTAGTCTATGGCAGCATAAAAGTGAAAAAAAAAAATAGGTAGTATAAATGTCGAACCATTTTGTTTAGAGTTTGAATGTTTAGTAGACTTGTCATTCTTTCTCACTGAGCTGCTTTTGTTTTGACTCCTATTTTCATTCTTGTATGTTAAAAGGCAGATTTTTTAGTCTTTCACTTTTATCCAATTCCTGCTTACAAGTGTGTTTAAATTTAAATGCATGCAGGTTGGAGGTTGAAAAGGTTAGAGTGAATCAGATATATATGGAGAACAAGGGAATTGTTATCTTTCTTGTAAGCTTAATTTTTGGATTGGTAGCCCTTGCGAGGGTGTTCGTAGATATAATGTTGAGTATTTATAGATCAGAGAATTCCGGGAAATTTTGTATGATGGGCTCTTCCTGGTTTTGTCTATTGCTGAGCTGTGGCATTGTTATTATAGTTTTCTCCTTATAATTATTAGTATTATTGTTATTATGTGAAGTTCGAGTATGATTAATTAGTTTGTTTTTTCGGCAGCTTTGTTCATAGATAAGAGTCACATTTTGTCTATAAAAGGGAATGATGCAATGAAATCGTTCTTTTCTTCTTTAGATTTGTGGTTTGAATTTGCATTTTCATTGCTTCTTGGACAAATTTAACTTCATCTCTTCTAGTCTGGTTTGGTCTCTCTGCGGATTATTTCCTATCATTTGAAACTGATACTATTGTTTGTGGACTAATGAAACATGTAAATTGACCTTTTTACCATCATCTCTTTCCTCACAATCCTCTTCTCTCTCTTTCTGAAACAAGGGACCCCTAATGCCATGCGCATTATTTAAATTTGACATTTTTATCTTCCACTGAGTTGCCCCTCTAGGTTATGCTAGCCTCTGTCACATTCAAAGACAAGATTATTCTTATTCTTGAAATGGTTAAAGAGATTTTATGATTTTATAATATGATTGTGCTTTATTAAATTGTTGGGTTGCCAGTAGTAATGGTGGATGGTAAACTGGTTGTGGAGAAAGAGAGATTGGAGATGTGCGAAAGTTAAGTAGATAAAAAGGTTTTAATTCAAAATTCATAATCAATGAAGTTTTTAAATTGTATTTGGATTATGAATTTAGAAAGAGAAAGGAGAAAAATAAATAAAATGTAATTATATTTTGTTCATATTTTATTTATATTTTTCTTTTCTCTTTTTAAATTTTTTATCAAAATTTATGATTCAAACACAGTCTTAAAACTTTTATTCATTGCTCTCGACACCAGGGAAATGTTTTTTAAGATTGGCAGCCAATTAAGATATATCATGTTAATCAATCAATACATTCAAATAATATTAATGTCTAGAATAGATAGATAAGTGCAAAAATATTGAATTTGTATGCGGGAAAAAAAATAGATATGTGATATTTAGATGCAAGAAACGTGATATTTTGAAGTAACATCACACATTTGACTATATATAATTGCTATTAGAAGAAGACGACAACCTTTTAGGATTTATTTGATTCCCATCATGAGTTTGATTGCTAATTTAGTAAAATCGGTTTGTTTGGTTTGTATTTGTAGAGTAGTTTTTGAGATAAAAAGTACGAAAACTTGTTTGGTTTATTTTTTTTCATAAATTGTTTTGAGGAGAGAGTTTTAAAAAAAGTGATTGATTTGATGTATGAGAGAGAGAGAGAGTGATTTTAGAAAGTAGGTAACCAAACAAAATTTTGAGATTTTTTCTAGAAAAATTTGTTTAGTTTGATTACTCTTGAAAATTTGTTTGTAGAGAATTTTTTTCAAATTTTTTTTTGAAAAACAAACCAAACAAGGCCAAATTAGTTTGATCACTCTGTCTCTTATTTTTTGAGTTTGAATATCATAAATTGCATCCAATTTGATAATAAGTTAGAATTTTAATTTTAAGAATCATATTGATTAATCATACGAGGTTGCAAATCTCTTCCAATTAATGTTCATAAAAAGATTGATTCTAAAAATAAATAAATAAATAAAAGAAGAAGACATACATAGATAGATACCAGAGGTAACAAGTAATTAGATTTATTTTTTTATTTTTATACTAGTGTTATGCACCAGCAATAATAGCTAGAATTAGAATAAAAAAAAACATAACTATATATAATTTATCCAATTTTTGTTTATAATGTGTGTTAGTGCTGTCAATTCTTCATATCAAATATACATGGGAATAATGATCAGCATGCCAAATATAATTATTACTAGTAATTATGAAATATTTGGAAGAAAAAAAAAATCTCCAAGTTAATGAAAGGAAATTCTGTAAATTATGCTTAATTATATATAGAACACCATATGATGTACCAAGTAACTAAATTCCTTTCTTTTTGCTATAACAACTATTTGTTTTATTTTTTAAATTTTGCAATTACTGTATGTTGCTTTTTAGGGGTGGCCGCGGGTTGGTTACGGTCATGAAACCTTCAATTTGCCATCCGTCTGCTAAATTGGCGGATTAGAGAAAATCAATCCGCATCCATCCGCCAATCCGGCGAATGTGGATTGAGCGAATTGGCAGATGGATGTGGATCGGTTTGACGGTTTAAAATTTTATAAATTTTCAATATAATTCAACTTGTACACTTCCTCAAAAAAAAAAAAAGTATTACAGTTAATGATTTAAAAAGTATTACAATCATTGTATGTGTAACGCCCCAAATTTCTACCCTAAATGATAAGACAACAATTATGGCTCTTTCAAGGAAAACCGAATATAAATCTCCAAACTTACATTACATGATACAATAATTCTTCGTGCAACAATACATTAATCTAACAACAAGTAAATAAACAAATAAATACCCCCAAGGGTTTATAAGTTTCCAAGGCTTGAGCCTGGTTACACAAAACAGTTATTCAAACCCACACAAACACAGCCCTTGGCTTACACACAGAGTCACAAGTAAATTGAGAGCATTGTACTCTCAACACACATACTTCCACGCCCCTAGTTGGGTGGGATCACCACATCTTTTCCTGCACAAAAATCCCGTAGGGTGAGCATAAAACCTAATAGGAAATTCTTAACAAAGTATATACATTTTATACAAGTCTCAATAAATTAAATGCACATACTATGCTATGCCCTTTTTGAAGATAAATCACATTTTCATCTTTTGAAAACCGTCATGCTCAATGATATCATGCAATTTCAATTATTCAAAACTTAACAATTTATTTCAAGGGCGGTAAATACGACTCTGGTAATCCCTAGGTTAGTGTCTGCAAGTAGACTATACAAGTACTACCAAATTGTCATTTTTACCGGTATTAACCGGAAGGCTAGACACCTATCTGTGCAGATTTTTGGACTTTCACCCTGGACTCTCAGGCCAACTTATTCAATATCATTTACACCACCTATCAAGACTTACCAACATATTTACCTCAAATCCATTTCATGAAAACTTATTTCTCAACATTCTTTTCTCAATGCAAGTTTTCAAATCAATTTTCAAAATTTAATATAATCAAATGAATTGATATGCCAATTTTACAAGATGAATATAAAACTTTTATTCCAATTCATCATCCAAGGAATAACATAATTCTCTCTTCTAAAGTATCCTTAACAATTAGTTATTTCAAGATTATTTCAACATTTTGAACAATAATTTCCAAAATGAACAACAATTCTCATATTTCCTGAAATTCATCATTTATATAAATATAAATAAGAAATTTTTCAAACATTCATTTATTTTGACACACAAAATAAATATAACAATATCATTCATGGATTTTCAGTCTTCTTAAAAAAATTCCAAAATTTTAGGTTTTCTCACCAAAACTCTACAACACAAATTTTTTGAAAAACAACTTTTCAAAATCATATTTTCTTCAATCAACGAAAATCAAAACCTATAAGATCATTTTAAAAGAATAAGAGACAAACCCACTTTCAAAATCGTTCAACTTCTCGAATCAACAATCAATTTTCAAAGTTATAGAAAGATGATTTTAAAAATCATGTAGATCTTGCAAATATATATATATAACTCTAAGAAAATCCCTACTTCAAGTTTTGTAGAAGAAATGAGATGAAACCCCCAAAATCAATGGTGTCGAAGCTTGATCTTCACCGCACACAACGAAGCCCTCGAAAAGTTAACCAACTTTGATAAAGAACCTATGGCAGAACTCTAATGGATAGTGAGAAATCAAGGTTTTGATCCAATTTGGCGTAGGAAAATGTAGAGAGAAGGGAGAGGAAAAGATTTTTAGAGAGAAAGATATACAAAAGTGATCTGAAATATCAAATTCACAAACTGATATAACATGATCCGCTCGAGCGTGGAAAGCCTCGCTCGAGCGTCAAATATACTTTTTCCAGTACTTTTGCAGACAGGTCAAACTTCTGGAACTAAACATTTTCCGCTCGAGTGCGTAGACGGCCGCTTGAGCGGACAAGTAACTTCTAATGCATTTTGCATTTTTGCTTCAGGGACGCTGCCATAGGACCCACCAAGGGGCACTGCCCCTCAACTCCCACGAGCTGACTGGGTAGCTCGATCCCCGACATACTCAGCGAAGTGGCAAAAGTAGGATCACTACAGTATGCCTCATCTAAAGAAAAAAAGTTTAAAATTTTAGAGTATTACAATCACTGCATGCCTCATTCACATATTACAATCACAGCATACCCCATCCACATATAAAGTATTATAATCTATAGTTCTTAAAATATAAAAACAATTCAAACCACCAAAACCATGGACAGAGCAGTAGTAGAGATTGTATGCCTCTGTATTGTTACATCCATATCTGTTTTTGAAAACAAAAACTAACTAGCATATATCATCTTTTTTATTTATTATTTTTAGAGTTAGATTGAAAAACCAAAAAATATAGATAAATAATACATTTATTTTTTTCAATTCAAAAAATATATCTAAGTTGAAAACTCTTTTTCAATAGAATATATTCAACAAAATATTTAAACTCTTTTTTAATTGAAAAGACAAATAAAATATCTAAACAAATTGAAAATATAAAAGGGTTTGGCGGTTCGGTTGCAGCTAAAAGAACTTCAAATCCACCATCTGTCTAAAATTAGGCGGATTGAAAAAAATCAATTCGCAACCGTCTGCTCGTCATCACGCATTTGTCTAAAATACGCGCGGGTCGGTTGGATTCGGTCGATTTGGACAGATTGATATAGCCGCTGCTCACCCCTATTGCTTTCCAACTTTCAAATTTTACATTTTCCATTACTTTTGTTTTCATCATCATCTCATATTTCAAATTTGGTATTTTCTTAGGTGACAATAAAATTTAGTGTAAACCTGCAATATTGTGCTAATTGTCCAAAAAAACTAGAAAAAACAATTACAAAATGTGAAGGTAAAATATATATGACTTTTAAATTCTTTGAATCCTTATTGCATCATGGAAACACCATCTAAAATAATATAAATAAATGGTTGAATATTTTTCTTTTTATTATTTATTTTTTGTACAATGTTTTTTATTTAATTAATTTTATTTGTACGTGTTAGGAGTCGATTCTGCAATTGTAGATAGCAATGGATTAATTCTAACAGGCACTAACTTCGACACAAAAGCAATTGAAAGGAAGACTTGGAAAAAGTTAGAAAAGAGATTGGAGATCAAGAAAGAGGATGAAAAAGATGATGGTGAAACTAAAAAAAAAAAAAGATGATGGTGGAAAAGATGAAAAAGATTGTCTTTATTTCTTTTGAAACGAAAAAAAAAAGAAAAAAGAAAATAAAAAGATGATGGTGAAACTAAAGAAGAAAAGAGTAATGAAAAAGAAATGAAAGAGCAAGTATATTCATAGAAAAGCGACACTCCATCCTCCAGTGGTGAGGATAAAAATGAATATGAAATAAATAAATTTTGCAATATTTTTTAATAAACATGGGATAAGAAAATGCATGGTAACAATTGCAATTGCAATGGCAATGGCTATTAATATTAATACTATCAATATTATTTTAACAATTGCAAGGGCTATTAATTTTACCATATCAACAACTGCACCTAAAAAGCTTTCAACCTTTATGTATAAATTTATTAGCAAATAAATTAATTGGAAAAAACAACTCATTAAAATATCAAACCACAATTAACAAAGAACCACTAACTCAAAATGTATTTGGTTTTCAAATTTCTTTCTTTAAAAAATTAACAAAAATATTAAGCATAGTAAAAGTGTTATTACATAAAACATTTTTGGATGAATGCTTAGTTGAATTTCAAAACGACAGATGATTTGAGTGCATATTAAAATTTTTCAATTTCAGACTACATAAACATTTTTGATAAATTAAGACCATGTAAATTTTTGTATTCACCTTCATGAAAACTTCTCTACACTATACATATAAAAATATTAATTAAAGATATTAAACTAATGCACATGATGTGAAGACAAAGAATAATTGAATTTTTTAAAGAAATCTTGCATATTTATTATTATTATTTTTTTCAAATATTCAAAGAAAGTATAACAGGTTCTACCATTTTAACATGTGAAATTTATGTAATAAATTTAAAATCATAGTAATTTATTATTAAAGGGTAAATTATACTAATTTTGCTTAAGGTTTAAAAAATTTACAACGAGTTCTACAATTTTAACACAAGGGTTAAAAGGGTTTGGGGTAGTTACTTTCTACTATTCATCATTGTTGTGCAACCTATTGGGCTTATTATTACATGGCCTATTTATATAATTCGGACCATTTAATTTTTAGGAAAATGGTTTGTAGCTTGAAATATATTCCTCCGAATGGCCCGATTTTTGAAAACGACATCGTTTTCAAATTTTTTTTTTCTCCCTTCTTATTTCCCTTCCACTTCTCGTTTCTCTCTTGAATCAAACCCAGAGAGAAAGAGAGAAATAGAGAAGGAAGAAGAGAGGAGGAGAAGGGTGATGGCGGTGATGGAGATGAAGATGTGTTGTTGATGGCGATGATGATGTGTTGATGGTGATGATGTTGCTGTTGATGAAGATGTTCGCCGATGAAGATGTTCGCCACCTCCGATCTTCGATTCTGCCTTCGATCTCTGATCTCCGCATTCGATTTGTGTATGAGGATGTTGTGTTGAAATTGTTTTTCAGATTTTTTACATTTTTTTTGGGCCTTCTGTGCTGTGTATCTGTGCTGTGTTGATGATGATGTGTTAGGGTGGGTTTGGTTTTTGGTTGATGATGAAGATGATTTTTCTCTCTTTCTCTGTTCTGCTCCTTTCCTTTTCTCTTCTTCCTTTCTTCTTCTTCCTCTTCTTCTTCTGCGTTATTGAAAAAAAAAAAAAAAAATCAAAACGACGAAACGACGTCGTTTTGAATTTGGGGGATTCGGGGAAGGGTGGATTCGAGTTACGTAGCATAACTCTAATTTTTAAAGGATATAAAGTAGAACATAATATCAAATTGCATTTACCATCCATTTTTCTTAAGTAAAATGTGATTTATGAAAACGGTATTGATATCTGATTAATTTATTTTTACAGATATATTATACTCGATATATTTTAAAAAGTGAATTATTTTAATTATCAAAATGGACCTTAAAATATGCTCAATAAGCCGCACACTAGTGGCTATTATGCACAGTGCACAATAATCATCTAAAATTTGAGTTGAAATGATTAGAATTAATGTAAATAATATCAAATATAAATATAATAAGGTAAAAAATATATATATCTTATCTTAACATAAAAAATATAAATATTATTTTTCATTTATATAATTAGTGAAAAATTAATAAAATTAATTTAAATAGTATGTGAATTAAAAAATTTAAAAAAATTATTGTAGAGGTTAAGGTAGGTTGGTGCAATTTACCTAAAAAAAAATATGGGCAAATTACCTACACCTTAACGAAATTACAGATTTTTCTTTGAGGTTTCAAAAATTACATTTTACCCATCGCAATTAATGCCGTTAACGGATATCATAAATTGACTAAAATGCACTTTTGACAAATAAGGGCAAATTATCTACACCCTTTTGAGGTTTAGCAAAATTACAGATTCGTCTTGAGATTTACTTAAATTACAGATTCTCCCATGAGGTTTAGCTAAATTATCATTTTCAAATAAGTTATGAAATGCAAAATTAAAATGAAAAAACACTTATCACATTATAAAAAATTAAGGTTTTAGAGATCAAACTTTAGAGACAAAATTATTTTTAGGGGATCAAATATTTTTGTTACGAAAAATGTCGTTATTATATTTTTTGTAACAAAAATTGAACATTAGTGATTAATTATTATATTTTTGGTATCAAGTTTTTTGTCTCAAAAAATAAACCATTTGGAGACCAAATTATTTTGTATCTAAAAGTCTATTTATTATTGACATTTTCGAAATTTTATCACTAAAAGCCTTATTTTTTACTTTTTAACGATAAAAATTAGTCTCTAAATATCTTTTAAAAAAAAAATTCACTTTTAGAGATCAAAAAAATTAGTCTCTAAAACTCTTAGATGTTGTAGTGTCAGATGGTGCTAATATCATACGATTAATAAATAATTAAATAAGTTAAAAATACAATAAATGATTTGTCAAAAAAATCTTAGAATATGTTTGGTTTAATTTTTAGAAATCTATTTGTTTTAAAATTAAAAATTAATTTGGTTAATAAATAAAAAATAAAAAATAATTATTGTTTTTATATAATTTTATTTTTGAGTGGTTAGAAATAATTTTTACAAATTAAATATGTTTTTTCATATATTTTTTTATTAAATTAGTTTTTAATTTTTTTTTTAAATTCTGATTTTTTTTCTTCTAAACAACAAATTAAACATGATTTAGTGTTTGAGAGATGTGTTTTAGAAATAAAAAGTACGAAAAGTTGTTTGGTTTGATTTTTTTCAAAAGATGTTTTGGAAAATTATTTTGAGAGAGAGTTTTGGAAAAAGTGATGATTTGATGTGTGTGAGAGAGAGATTTGTTTGGAAAACTTATTTAGTTTACAAGTTTTGAGAATTTTTTTTGGGAAAATTTGTTTGGTTTCATTACTTTTAAAAACTTATTTGTACAGAAAATTTCCCAAATTTTTTTTCGAAATTCAAACCAAACGAACCCTTCATTTTTTTCCATCTAACATAATTCTTTTAGAGATTTTGTTAATTTATCAAAAGAATTTTAGCAGAGGTAATATCGTTAATCAATTTATATTTTAGTAATATTAACTAATTATTCTTAACATTTAATTAACGGTAAGAATTAAATTATTATATGAATATAAATCTCGAGGGTGAAATATTTTTAAAACCTTAGGAGAATGTGTAATTTAAGCTAAATAATAGGTGTAGGTAATTTGCTCAAAAAATATTGAGCAAAATTCCCAAAATCACCCATCCACCGCCTCAATGGATTCGAGAACCTTCCCTTCCTTTACCACCCGAGCATTACAGTGAGCCAACGCACAGAGCTTCACAAGTGTGATATTCATCATACACACATAGAGATACGGAAGAGAAGACTCCAATTAAGCAAGCATGTTCAAGAAGCCTGTGGAGTCAAGAACACAGCAACGTTTGTCTGGTGCTGACCGTAAGAAGTTGAAGAGAACCGTCAAAGAACGATTCCCCTATGCCTCCGATGCTGATATCGACGTCTTAATCCCCCCTAAGGTAATCAATCTCTCTCTACACTCTCTGCTCTTTTCAATTTCGATTTGAATTTGGTTTTTTTAATTAACCCATTTCAATTTTCTGGCTAATTAATTGAACCCATTTCGATATTCTTGGTATTTCATGTGCTGCTTTGTTATTGGGGTTTGAAAGTGTTTTAAATTGTCACATTCATTGTGTAAGGTTGATGACTCTATGAAGTGAATTGTGGGGAAAATAAGGAAAGAAAAGAAGGGGAATATGGGTCCTTGTTGGCGGTGAATATATTATACAATATTGTACGTATGTAACACTTTTGCTTGTGTATGTATGTTTTGTTTGGGTATGTTTGCTCAAATGCATATGCATATGTTGAAAGAAGAAAATAAATGAAGGCATAAAGTCTACTTTCAATTTTTGGTTAAAAACACTAGTTCTTATGATTGGCTTGTCAATTTGAGCAATTGAGTTATTTTGGTATTTGATGCATAATTGGGTTTGAACCCTACACCCACCTCACTGTAGCCCTCAAATTGCAATTTGAGCTTTTAGTATTAGTTGTCCTTTTATATACTAAAGGAAGCAATTTCTTGAGATTCTTTTTGGCATGATTTGAAAATTTTATATGGAAGAATTTGTGTTGTCCATCATACATATGCTTATGTTTGTAATATAAATAATATCTATGTGCCTTAAATGAATATACTTATGTATCTCCGTACATCGTTTATCTTTGTTACACTTGTGATATTTTAGGTAGAGTTAACACTCTCAAAATTACATTGACAAAGATTCATGGTGGTCAGGCTTTGTAAATTGTAAAGGAAGATTGATTGTTTGATTTAACGTTCATGTTTGTAGGTTTGGCTTTAGTATCTAGATGATATTCAGATGCCTTAAATAAAAGTTTGTTATGTTCTGATACATATTATCGTTTCTATGACCAATGGTATTTTAGGCAGAAATAACGGTTTCGAAGTTCCCAAACCGAATTCATGTGTATGGTCTTGAAGGTAGCTTTCCAATGTTTTTTGATGTTGATGGCCGAGGCACTGAAATATTCCCTACAGGTATTTGACAATTTATTGCATCGTTGTTTTGGTTGCCTTTGTGATCTTTTATGTTGGTAGATAGCAATGGGGCATTTCACGTATGCCAACTTCACTTTTTTACATGAGACAGAATATTTAAGGCACATAATTTTGTGTGTATGGGTGAGAATCCTCTGTGGTTGGAGGAGCAAGTTAGTTAAGGGTTTTAAAAGCATCACCTAAAAACATTTTCTTTTTCTTTTTACCTCCTTCCGCTCGGACTTACTCTCTTTATAATGGGTCTAGGTGCTAAACTAAATTTAGTGGACCAATTGGCTTTTTTTTTATTGTGAATAATGTTACACTATATAGTTGTTACTATCCTTGTCAAAAGTGCACATGGACTTCGTTGGACCATTTATGCGTCATGGTGTTGTCAATTTTAATGTTGACAATTAAGCTTAATCTAACATATTTCATGCTAACATTGCTGAGTACAATCTAGTCGTTTTCATGGATCACTTAAATATCATCTTGATATTTTTACTTTTATATGTCCCACTCATTGTAAACGACCATTAAGGTTTTCCGTTCATACTTGAAAGCAACAAGGTAAAATGGGATTTCATATAACACCTGCTTAAAATATGGTGAGAAAGTGTTTGGTAATGTGTTATGTTTATTATTCTTCATATATGAAAGTTGTGTCTACTATGTGACGAACAAACTTGTACATGAGTAATATCCTGTGTGTATTTATTTTCAGTGTGCCAATCGTTTACCTATTTCATGATGGCAGTTTTTGCTCTCTGGAAGGTCCCTGACCTCTTGCCTGCATTTATACTTAAAGGGGGTGAGGTTTCGCGTTTTATCATTGGAGGAGCAGATTTGATGTTCCCTGGCATTTATATACCCGCAGAGGGTCTACCATCATTTTTAGCTGGGAAGCCATGGGCGGTGAAAGTGCCTGGCAACCCAGCTCCAATTGCAGTGAGTTTTTTAACTGTTTTGCCTTAAGAACTGTTGCTACTGTCTGAATTGTTTAAGTCCTATATTAAGTTTTTTTTTTGATTAATATTGAGTCATCTTTGTTTAGGTTGGGACTACAACCATGAGTAGTACTGAAGCTGTAAAAGCTGGTTTGCGTGGAAAGGCTTTGAGAATAACTCACTACTACAGGGACTCACTTTGGTAAATATAGGGTCATATTTGACACACATATTCAAATATCAATTTGAGTAGAAATATGACTGATTTGGCCTTTGTCTGGGAATTCCTTTTTCCAGGGGATCAGTAGAAGGCCATTATGTTCCGAATGCTGGTTTTCTAGAAGATGTTGTGTTTGAAGATCCTTCTTTATTTGCTTCCCAGACTTCTGATTCATGTGAAACTGATGATTCAATTGATCAACAGAATGGCATCAATAATGAAGAAGTAGGGGAGGCTAGTGATGTTGCAGATGCTCACTCTGACCTTGATCCAGCTTCCCAAACACATACTGATTTACAAAACGATATAGCTGAACAAGTAGCTGCAGATGTGGGTGATCTGAAAGTAACAGAAAATGCTTCAACTGATGAACTAAATGTTGAGGACCAGCATACTCTATCTAGTGAAGATCTAGATGCACTTTTGGACAAATGCCTTCTGCAAGCATTGCATACAACAGTTACAGATAAAGATCTTCCCATTCCTGGAAGTACATTATGGTAAGATGGATACTCTGGCTATCTTATGTTGTATACATAAATATCAAGTTGAATTGGGAACCTTATGTTTCTCTCACAAGCTTATGCTGTTACATGTCTTGTGTATGCATGTATATAATATGTAAATGTATCTATATCTGTTTCTATATTTTTGTCTTTGTTTTGGTGAGACCTTTGCCATTGAATAGAATGATGTTGATGATATCAAAATTTGCTTATGCACACACTCTAAGCCAGTAACTAAACAACTGGAACTAAAACTTGGAATTGATTTATCCTTGAATTTTCTGAAGTACGAAAGTTGTATGCGTGCGTGCCAATCGGTTTTGGTTCTTTAGCTTTTTGATTGTTGGGATTATGGTTGCCGTATGAATAGGGTAAAGAGTAACTAAACAACTGAAACTAAAACTTGGAATTGATTTATCCTTGAATTTTCTGAAGTATAAAAGTTGTATGGGTGCCATAAGGTTTTGGTTTTTTAGCTTTTTGATTGTTGGGATTATGGTTGCCGTATGAATAGGGTAAAGAAGGTTTGGTGGGTGGAAACCTTGTGCTTATTGTGGGGCCTTTGGAGAAAGATGAATAGGCGAACTTTTGAAGATTTACATACAGTTGTTCATAGGCCTATTCTTATTTTGCTACAATCTATTTATTTTTGGTTGAAAGGGAATTTTTGTGATTTCTCACTGGTTTCTTTTATATACCTGTATATATTCTTCGATTTTTATTAATGGGGCCAAACTTGTCTCCAAAGTGAACCCACCATGGGTCCTGTTTCGATAATTTGAACTCTTCAATGTGTAGAACTCGTTGAGTACTTTATCCCTTTAAAAAATCACGTTGATCAGATATCGATAACTACTTGATCGGATCAGATTTTTGTTAACAATTTATTTTGAAAATTATATACTGTTGACAGAAATTTGATCCAATCAAATAACTATCGATACCCAATCAATGTGATTTTTTACAGAGACCCCGTTTGGTAGAGCTGTGAAAAAGTGATTATAGATTATAGTTTAACAAATTATGGCTTATAACTGTGAACATAAAGTGTTAACCAGTTTGGTGCAGCTGTGAGATTATGAATTTAAGCAGCTCTGTAAAATAACTTTTTATGTGTAATTGTCTTTTTTGCTCTTATATGATATAAAAATGATTATTTTGTTATTTTTTTCAATTTTAATTTAAAAAAATTATTTCATTAATGAAAGTTAATATAATTAGCATTACAAAAATTATCATTTCATTAATAGTATCAATTAGTATTTTTTTTTATTATAAATTAATTAGTGTCAATTAATGGCTTAATTAGCATCAATTACTATTAGGCCTCGTTTGACAATTGTCGTTTTTAGCCAAAAAGTCAAAAAGTTACTAAAAAAGCCACAAAGCCAACAACTTATACAAAAAAGTCGAAGATTCTCTTTTCTCTCTACTTTTTGCACATCTTTTCGTAAAAAATCAAAAAGTCATTCCAAACATATTATTTTTTTTTACATCATATTTTAGCCAAAAAGCTAAAAAGTTACTAAAAAAGTCTGTTCCCAAACGAGGCCTTAATACTAAAATTATTAAATAGTATCAATTAGTATAAAAAAAATTTTTCATTATAAATTAATTAGTCTCAATTAATGGCTTAATTAGCATCAACTAATACTAAAATTATTAATAGTACTAATTAGTATAATTTTTATTTAGTTTTTCATTATAAATTAATTAATCTGAATTAATGGCTTAATTATCATCAATTATTATTTTTTATTCATTAACTATTATTTTTTTTATTAAAAAAACATTGAATAAATCCACAAAAAAAAAAAAAGCTGAAAACCCTAGCTCCAGCTGGACAGCGGCGATGAACTGGAGCTAGGGTTTCAGATTAATCCACAGAGAGAGAGGGAGAGAGCCGTTTCGTCGGCAACCCCTTGTTCTCCTCCTCCTTCTTCTCATCTCACAATCGGCGTCAATCGCGAAGAGGGAGAGAGAACTAGGGTTCATGCTGTCGATCACGATGAGAGAGAGAGAGCGCTAGGGTTCATGCCTATAAAGCATGTGTATTTCGAAAAACATGCCGTACCCGTACCGGGTACTTACCGGCGTACCGTACCTCGTATGTTACTTTGCATACGTACCGGGTACACGAAATACGTACCCAATTTTTTTCTTCTTAATTTTTGACGTACCCAAACGTACCTAGTATATATCTAAGCTGTACCGTATCTCAATTGAAACAATATTTTCCTTCTACTACAGAGATAAAACTCATTTCATTAGATTTCTTTTTTAGTTTTTGTTTTATGCTTAGCATGATTTAAAATTAAACTATGGTTTGTAAGTTGTTTAATATATTGACATTTAATTTTGATTTATACTTTTCCTTTTCACATTAAATGTTAATTATAGGTTGGAGCTTAACAAATTAAACTATTTAATTAATTTTTGCATTATTCTAAATTAAAAGTGAATATTTTTTTACAAACGTACCAAGCCGTACCCGTACCCTATTTTTTTTTGAATTTTACCGTATCGACGTACCCGTATCGTACCAGTACTCGTACCCGTACCTGTGCTTCATAAGTTCACGCTGTCGATCGCGATGGTTCAGATCACGATGGTTCAGATCGTGATGGTTCACATCGCAATGGAGAGCGATCGAAGAACACCGCAAAGAGAGATAGAGCTTTGGTCGCCTGAAATCGACGTGTTCGTCAGAAGTCGCCTTGGTTCGCCGGAAATCGCCTCTCCCGTTTGTGTGAAAGAGAAAAAATGAGTGTTCTTGGTTTATATATATGGCACACTTGTAATTAGCATCAATTGCGAAGGGTATTTAAGTCATTTTATGCCCCTCATTTGAGCTTCCAGCATAAGCTCAAATCAGAAGCACCCCTGGGGCTGCTTATAAATTTAAGCTCAAAATAGCTTAATCAAATCTATAATCTATCCCTTTAAGTTTTACCAAACACACCAAAATAACTTAATTTAAGCTAAAAGTTGATTTAGGGATTGTTTGGGATGATCTAAATAAGTGCACTTTTTGATTTTTTATGAAATATGAATTCGGTTTGGATTGGGTTTGAAGTGACGTGTTAGAGAGGTGATGTGACTTAAATAGGATAGTGACTTTTTGGCTTTTTTCAAACATGCCTAACCAACCCTTAAGCTGCCTTTAAGTGCTAGCAAACAGGCCCAGGGATAAAGTACTCGATGAGTTGTACACATTGAACAGTTTGGATCATTAAAACAGGACCTGTAGTAGGCTCCCACGGCCCCAACAACATGCTCCAGTCCGATCTCAGACTGGAGAGAAGTCTGTCGCTTATTAATGTAGCTATATTTTATTAAGAAAGAAGCAAAACACAGACGCATGGTACTGGTTATCATTAGTTCTATAGATAATTGTGTTGATATTAGTATAACATCAGGAAAAATCACCTACTGCAATTCGATCAAAGTAACATTTATTTGTCATGCAAATGTAAGTATATTTATGTTACTACTGAAGTGTATAGTTTTAATGTTGCAGTTTTCATGCTGTGCATGGATATTTCAGGTTAAAGCTAGGAATGATGGCAACATTTTTTTATTTTATTTGTTTGCGTCCTTGGTTATTTTATCTTGAAAAGAAGCATGTTTCATTAAAATTGTTGTTTAATTTTCTTTATAGTCACTTTTCTGATAAATGTGTGTGGCTATTTGTTGTGATGGTGTAGGTCAAGTCACGTCCTACCTTGTAGACCTTCAGGCATCACCCTGGATATCAAGAAGTCATCACACAAGAAATTGTCCAAGTGGTTACAGTCTAAATCATCTGCAGGATTGGTCTGTTTCTTGGTTCTTCAAAATTTTTCTTGTTGATTTAAAATATATTAGACCTAGATACATTAGTCAAAATTTGTAATTGTGTATGTGGTGTTCCAACTTAAATCATGCCATATTCTTTATAAGCCGTAAATGAATTGAGTAATTTTTGGGGGCAGACTTCTCAGTTGTTTTATCCTTTTGTTTCTATATTTGTGTGATTGATACATGCCTATACATATATGTATATATGGATATATAGACACCCATAAACAGTATTTTTTGCTTATCTTGAAATTTTTTATGATGCTTCTTAATGATGTAGCAATTTGTTTAAACAAGTTGTGCAATTGATGTAGTCTCTTGCGATGAGGGGTTTCATGTGGGTCACCAGATTAGGCATGTATTGATCTAGAAACGTACTGAAGGTGTGAGGAGCTGGTTAGAGGAAGTAATGTAAACCTAGGATGGCACAGGAGATGATCCAGTGAGAGCTGTGGCGAATCAAGTGGCCCTGGGAAAAAGGGGGGGGGGCAGAGGGGGGGGGGGGGAGAGAAAGCAATAGTAATGGAGAGCAAATGGAGGTTCTGGAGGTGAAGAACTAGAGCCTCTAGCCTAGGGAAAGTAGGAGATGACTACCTTAGAGAAGGAGACAAGGTCCTCTATATATATAGCAGGGCCAGCTAACGGGTTAATTACACCAAGACCCCCTTAACTAATAGCCAATATCACCTTACCCCCATCATCCATACATATTGATCTCCTCAACTATTGAAAACCGTACAAATGCCCCCATTCTAATGGTGGTTTGGAGGGGTGAAAGTGATACATTTTTATAGTTGAAGGGGTCAAAATGTACAGGTTCGTAGATGAGGAAGGTAAGTTGATATTCACTAATAATTGAGGTGGTTTCGGTGTAATTAACTCCCAACCAATAGAGGCTAGTTGGTGGCATGTGCTTAGAGGACAACAGGCAGCTTCTGCCAGGCCTGGCACAGTGTTAGTGGAGTGACCTCAATTGCAGTGGAAACAGACACTAGGGAGGTTTTGTGGCATGCTCCTCAGGTATGGACGCATATGGATCGTGTTGCCTGGTCCTTGGAGGATAATGACATCTCGAAATTTCTTTTATTCTCTAAGATATCAGATTTTGCTGTTTAATGTTTTTGGATATGGCTAGTGGCTATATTACAAGTATGATACTGGAACTCTTTCATGTTTGTTGGGAAATGTTGTTTCTAGAATTTACATTGAAAGTTGGATTTTGGATGCTTTGTTATGCTGTCTGACCTGTGGGCTTACCTTTATGGTCACAAAAAGGGTTAATTATACTTTTTTCTCCTCAACTATTATTGAATATCAGCTTACCCTGTCAACTTTAAAACCATACATTTGGGTCTTTCAACTTTCAAAAATTGCTTCAATTTCACCACCTCCAAAAGGGGGCCCTTTGTACAGTTTTTAATAGTTGAGGGATCTAAATGGACGATTTTAAAGTTGAGGGGGGTAAGATGATATTTAGTGATAGACGAGGGCGGTAAAGTGTAAATAATCCTCAAAAAAATTAGGATGTGGGAAGTAGAAAAAAAAAAAAAAAACGAAGTTGGATATTTTGTAAGATGTCTATCATTGTAAATATATGGAAGAATAAAGAAGCATTATTGTTCTGGGCAAAATTTCTGCTCAAATTAACTTTCTCTACTGATTTTTAGCTCTGGTTATGTGTGAATCAGTGGCACGGAGGATGATTTTAAAGATCTCTCTTTCATTATTCTCACGAGACAAGAGCTCCATCCCTATTATCTTATGTTCTCTCTCTCTCTCTCTGGTTTCTTTCCGTATTTTTTCAGCTGAAGTTGTCTGTAGGAGACTGTTGTCTACCCTATTTTAACCATTGAAATTGTTACAAATAATGTAGGTTCATGCTAAATTGGTACAACCATAAGCTAATAAATAATTTTGGCTTCTCAGTTGTGATTACTGCTGTGAGATAGATAATTTGTTTTATTTTTTCATGGTATGCTATGATATGAAATGCTCTTTTAAGTGAGAAGAGAAGTTATCTGTCAGAAAAAGGAAAAATATACAGAAGAACCAGAATCTCTATGCCAATAATTCAATTTTTTCTTGCATGATGCTGCAAAATTTTATAGATAATACCATTTGACTTTCTTGCAATATATAAATGTATGTGTTTGCTTACTTATTTTTCCTGTTAATTGAATGATGTATACAGATATCTGTTAAAGAAGATAAGCATAAGAAAGAGGTTATACTTATTTCCATTAACCGTAGTCATCCGGACTACACATCCTTCAAGCCAGAGAAACGGAAAGCGGAGAAAAATGAGCAAACTGTTCACAGTACCACTGAAGGAAGTTTGCATAAAGTATTGGAAGTGACGGAGATCTATAAACCAAGTGTGCATGTTAATCCAATTTTTGCTTCTGTGGGAACTGATACTTTGAAACTTTACAGTGCATCAGAAGCCACTGATGTTGTCTTTAAGTACATCGAACAAGAAAATCTAATCAAACCAACAAATAAGTCAATTGTGATTTTGGATGCAACACTATGTGATGCTTTGTACAAAGGAACCATCAAGAAAGGCTCAACTTACCCAACTGAAATTCATAAGAAGGATTTAGGGCATACATTTATAAATCGAATGCAACCTCATCACAGAGTTACTAGGGGAAGTGAGTCAGTTGTCCGCAAAGGTGCTTTGAAAACAATTCAAATAATGACAGAGCGGAGACAAGGTAACAAGAAAGTAACAAAACTCTCGGGGATGGAGTCATTTTTGATGGATGCTGAAGCTTTGGCGTCAGAGCTGCAGAAGAAATTCGCATGTAGTACATCCGTGGCAGAACTACCTGGTATGCCATCTTATCAACCCTTTCTTTTGAAATGCCTAAATTTTGATGGATGTGTGTGTACACTGGTTTTAGTCTTCTTTGTTGCAGTTCATAATATAGCATTTACATTCTTTGGACATGCTAGAGGAAGTATCTCAGTCTTTTTTAGTTGGACAAGTTGGGGGACACACGGTGTCTCATTTTTTTTTTTTTATTAAAAAAAAAAAAAATTTGCCACAAGCATTACCCAAAGTCGATGAATTTGATTAGAAAAAAATATTTGACGTAGAATCAATATATAAAATTATACGTTTTTCACGTGTAGCATGTCGTGTCCTGCATTTTTGGAAAACTTTCATGTTCACGTGTCCATGTCCGTGTCTTGTCACGTCTATGTCTGTGCTTCTTAGCATGAAACACATTTCAAGTTTACACAAAAATAACTTGGGTTAGGGTCTAGTGATAAAAGAAAAATGTAGATTTTTACCTATAAAAATTTGTATTATGTTGTATATTTTTATTAACTTTGAATGAAATATTCGTACATATATAAAATCATATGTTTTTTGCATGTCTCCCGCATGTCATGTTTTTTATTTTTTGAATATTATCATGTCAGTGTGTTAGTGCGGTGCATGTGTTGTGTCATGTGTCTGTACTGTATATGGGATATATCTTTGTACCAACTTGAGAATGAGGGTTGTGATTTATGCTTTATTTAGTTGTTTAGTAGCCTCAGGGGTATTTTTTAACTTAGAACCATATTAATATAAATTTATGGGTCTAAAGGAAATAAACCAAAATTTTGAGTTTCTCTCATCAGCCATTCATTTTGTCTCAATCTTCTCTCTGTCTTCCTTTTTGTTGTTTTCTCTTTGCTGTAAATTAACTATTTGGTAGCATGTTTTCTCTGCAGCCTACCACAAAATTTTTGTGGATTTCATTGACTATGTTGTGATGGTCACTAAATGTTTCTGATACATTTATAGTTGCATAGAAACATTAAATTCTTTTTTTTTTTTTGATCGGCGAAACACTAAATTCTTTTTGTTGTATTCTTGGCGGGGTCCTTGCAAACTTCCTTTTTGGTTGGGTCCATGGCCATAATGAACTCAGTGATTCTCGTTTCATTTTTTCGTGGTTGTATTGGTATGTAGGCAGTATAATTTTTGTGTTACTTTTAAAGCTGTCTGTTGCATCTTTTCCTCTTTTTTTTTTTTTTTTTTTTTTTTGGGAAAAAAAGGTTTTCGAACGTACTCTCCCACGCGCATGAGCTGTCATGCACTTCTTAT